CTTGCTGCCACGCCCGCCAGTCCAGTGGAGTCACAATACGCGATAGTGAGGGAGGCACCTGAGGAAGGTTTGACTTGTGAGCCGCCAGTGCTCTCAGCTGGGAGCTAAGGGAACCTAGAAAGGAACGGAAAGGGGGGTTATAGGCTAGCGCCACGACTGTCACACCCGGAGGTTGAAAAACGTAGAACGAACGCGCCACCGATATACCATGAACAAAATATAGGACATTAATTGGGTGAGTGAGGGTAAACGTAAGAAGCAGGACCAGCCTGGTCGATGTGGGTTAACTACATGCACTTATACATAAGTGAAATATATACACAAGTGAATACGAGCACTGCGGTACACAGAGTATATTATCTTAGAGTTCGTCCGATCTGGGAGCCGCGATGGAGAGATCACTGCCCCCCTGCTGACTTAGGGGTAAACTAGCATGCCTTGGCCGAGTGAGAACCGCCGCACTCCCTGCAAGCGTGCTTGAACTTGCATCGCAACCCGAACGGGCATGACGAAGTGTTTAAGAGCTGGCACACGTCAGGGCTCCACGTACGACGCCGCTTAGCGGGAAGAACTGAAGCAGGCATCACGCCCTCCTTGCGTCAATCCGCTACTGAACGACAATTCGCGGCAGTGTGCTGAGAGCTGTCGCACAGAAGCAGCACACTACCATCTTCGCCCTCCCGGTCAAAAACCGGGTGTGTAGGTCAACGTCTACTTTGGACAAAGACCTATTGCCGATCGCCGCCGCCGCCACCCGAAAATAAGTGTCGTAAGCCCGCCATTGCAGGCCGTCGTAGGACTGAGCCGCCTTGATTATTGTCAGTTGATACGCCAGTAGCTCGGAGAATCGCTCCGGTTCCTTTATAGCGACGACTGCTGTAAAGAACGCCTTCACCCACTCCGTAATCGATTCAATTTGCCGTCGCTTGGGCCGAACCAGTGGAATAAAGTGAATCTCGCCCTTGTGTCAGTCATCTGGTTGTGGAGAGACCGGGCCGGGAGTAGATCAGCCAGATCCACGTACTCTCATTTCTGGATCTTCTCCACAAGGCTCTTTGGTACAGTAGGAAGCCCGTTCCCAATTGCAACGCGTTCACTATCCAGCTTCAACGGTGCGGTCGGGTTGCCACACATGGCGCTGAACAAGGAGGCCCACGCTAACACTGCATCTGAACCTCCTAGCGCCAGAGGCGCCACCAGTCGCTGGTGTAGGCGGCACCGAAGTTGAAGATGGCAGAGATGCTGCAACTACGGGTAGGGCCGGAATAGTCGGCAGCATCACCCCTAACCCCCCTGATGACAGGCCCGTAGCTGTAGCTGACAGCAAACAACGCTTTTTTCGGAGAGGGAATGGAAGCAGGGGACATGCCACTGGGAAGAGAAGATGGCGCGGGTGCAACCAAGCTACTGGAGTTAAGAGCCGAGCTGGAGCCCCCAGGGGCCAGTCCCAGAGTCGAAGCTGTGCGGAAAATGGACTGCAATACCCGAGTATTTACTTGGTCCACCAGCGCTATGGCGACTGCCGGACTAACTGCCGGAGCAGTGGCTGCAGAGACGAGTGACGTTGTCGGTCGCCTGGAGCTTGCGACAGATTCCGCCGGGGAGCTCGACGTCGGCGTGGAGCTGGTTCAAGTCGCCACAGTAGGACCAAAAACGTCGAGAAACAACAGAGCTTAGCTATCAGCGAGCAAACGGAGCAACTGGTGACGTTGCTATGAGCCTCGAACTGAGCCTCGCGCACACGCAATGCACCTCGCATGCGCAACGGCCGGCTGAGCGTTAACCCTAAACGTCATTATGCTCACGTGTACTAACCGCATGTCCACCAACAGAGCTATCTCTCCAGCAGCTGCGTCCTCTCAGTAGCATGGCTTTTCTTGATCTCTTTGATCCACAGCTCTGCTCGCTCCGTCTCCTTCTCTAGTGCTCGTTGATGCTCCGCTCGAAGGCTCTCCAACGCTCGCAACATCGTCAACTCTCCTCTCAGCTCCGCTTGCTCTAAGTCTTGCTCCAGACGAGCCACACGATCCTCCAGAGGTTACCTGACTAGTTCCAGTTCCGCATTAGCTCTCCTGCCAACTGTCCCGTCTTCGCAACTCTTCGCGTAGACGTTCAATCTGAACAGAAAGTTCCTCCACTGTGCCGGTAGCTGCTGGTTCCTGACGTTTAGACATCTGGTCCCAGACCGCGTTTTTGACTGTAGGCAAATATCGTTCGATAGTCCTTTGGACATCCCAAATCCTGGCAGGGTCGCCAACTGTAACGCCTAGCGGTCTTCTAGCGCTGATAGGGAGCTTTCAAAATAGCTTTTTATGATAAGCATAGATAATCTGGAGACTAGACAAGCATAATTCACACACACCCACCAAAATACGCACGAGCTCTCACGTGACACATTACAATAATGTGAGCATGTGTACGTTATAATAATGGAGTAGCAAGGCTTTTGCACAAATTTTTTGACCATACTGCTCATATACACTGCTTCATATTTCACACGTTCTTCTGCGTTATCACGCGTTTACAAGTAAAAAAAAAATTCTGCGAATTAAAAAAAGTGTGGAATACAGAGATGCCATAAAAAGTAAGGAGTCAAGACAGGGATGACCTAGTGTATGTGATGCATTAGTACAGTGAGATGATGGTTACATCTTCAAACTGACATTGCTTGCTTGTGTAAATCTTCCTCCACACAAGCTCATATACACTGCTTCTACGTTCATATTCCAAATTCACACGTTCTTCTGCGTGATCACGCGTTTACAAGTAAATAAAAAATTCTGCGAATTAAAAAAAGTGTGGAATACAGGGATGCCATAAAAAGTAAGGAGACAAGACAGGGATGACCTAGTGTATGTGATGCATTAGTACAGTGAGATGATGGTTACATCTTCAAACTGACATTGCTTGCTTGTGTAAATCTTCCTCCACACAAGCCCTATATTGTCGCCACTTTTCTCACAACATGAATTTGTTTAGTGTGAGGACAATGGTAAAGCTGAGACACATAGATCCACTCGTACATATGAAACAAGTCATAGCTGCACATCATACAATAGAGATCACTCGTGCTAGCAAGAGATTTTAATGACAGTGCATTTAGCCGGCACTCTTTAGTGGAGTCCCCTCTCTCTAAGACCAGTCTGTAAAGGGATTCTCTGGAGGGCCATGAACACAGCATTGTAAAACTCATCGTTAGTTGAGCGAACACCGAAGTCTTAGACTGCACACAATCCAGTCACAACCAGAAACTGAGGAGCTGTCGGAGAGGGCAACGCACGTGTTAAGAGATGAGTCATTCTAGCACAGTCATGCTTTGCGACAATATAGGGCTTGTGTGGAGGAAGATTTACACGAGCAATCAATGTCAGTTTGAAGATGTAACCATCATCTCACTGTACTAATGCATCACATACACTAGGTCATCCCTGTCTTGTCTCCTTGCTTTTTTTGGCATCCCTATATTCCACACTTTTCATTCGCATAATTTTTTTATTTACCTGGCATGCACATGCCATAAAGCCCATATAAAAAGTAACATGTATTTATTGCCTCGGACTCTTAGTCGTCATCTTTCAGTTCCAAAGTAGAAAGTTATAGGAAAAACAGATTGTTAATTGCCTGAGGCTTGTTTACAAACTTGTAATTCATGTTTCAATGAACTCTTATCATAGTAAAGCAGTACCAAGTTTCATTGTTAGAGGACCCAAGTTACAGGCACAAACATCATTTACAAGTATTTATTGCCTGAGGCTGTTTGTTGTTGTTTACAACTTGTAATTTATGTTTCCCATGAACTCTCATCGTTGTAAATCAGTGTTGTTAGAGGACCCACAATATGCAAGTTATAGGCCCAAACATCATTTACAAGTATTCATTGCCTGAGGCTGTTTGTTGTTGTTTGTTGTTACAAACTTGTAATGTTTACATTTTGATACTAATGATGGGTTGTCTTCCCAGAAACCCTCGATTTTTGCCGCCATCTTGCCTGGTGATGACGTATTAAGATCTCGTGATGCTCGAAAGTGACGTTGAAATGGAACCACGTGCACAGCGCGGGTTTTCTACAATGGCCCCTTTAGTGTCTTTCGTGGCGGAAAGGCGTGAAGTTCCACGACTGCCGTGGGTTGAAAGCGTGTCGCGGAGAGCGCGTGGTTCTGCGTAGGCAGCCGTACAACGCAATAGGGCGGAGATCCCTCTCTTCCTGCCACGAGGAGTAGCATCTGGAGGCTCCTCAGGTTGTGGGCTGAAAAGAACCGTTTGTTGTGGCCGCAGGGACCGTCGCCAAAGGCGTACTCACGTTTCCGCTTTCCATCCCACTGGCGCGTGCTCGAGGTTAAAGGTCGACGTGACGTCGGTCGCTTTCCGTGACATGACGTCAAAGCCAAATGATAGGGCGCGCCGTTCAGAGGTGCGCGTTTCTGGGAAGACGGGCTCATTTTTCCGTCGCGCGTGATGGCAGCGCAACGGAGTAAGTTTGCATCGATAGTACATTCATTTTGGATGTCATATTCGAAATCTGGGTCCTTAACTAGTAAAGATGGCTGCATTATCAGCCTAACCCCTGGGGACCTCTATAATGGCTGTTTTGCCAGATTTCACACTAACGGTATTGGAGCGGTGAAATTTTACTGGCCTGGAAGATGCACCAGTAGACTAAGATTGTGCATAACAAGTTTCAAGTCTTAACTCCCAGGCTTGTGGAAATAATCAGCCTAACCGATTTTCTGAAAGACCTTTGTTTGGCAGCCATTTGTGTCACATGACGATCACATGGTTTAATATTAATTTGATCACTTTGATAAGAAAAGATTGCTGATGATTTTGATATGTTTCTCATGTGCACAGCATATAGTATGGCCGAGTAATGGACCAAAATGTTGAAAATCCCAAAAATCAGTCTATATGCAAAGCACTGTACATTCGGTAGTGCTGATTCAGCAAATATTGCTCACGCACGTGACCGTGTCATTGGACACCGCTAATTATTCGCGCGGCGCCCGCGTGGTGGTTTTGACCTGGGGCGGCGGTGATGGAGACCTCTATGGAGATTTGTCGTAAGGTTTTTAGAAGTTGAATTGTATATAATATGAGGTTTTACTTCGATTTTACAAGGCTAGCCTTGCCGTTAACTTGTCGTTTGAGGCTTATTTTGCATCAGAACACGTACATTGAACCCTTCAACGTCAAAAGTGCCAATGTCCGGAGAACTATGAACACTTGTGTGTCTAGTGCTAGTGTTGGTATGCCTAGAAACAAAGTAAACAAGTCAAATTTGGAAAACAAATGTAATATTGGCATAAATATTCTGATAGAGTGAAAACTAAGGAGACAAGACAGGGCCGCCTGGTTGATTTTTTTGCAGTGGCATATTACATGCACCTGTGTAAATTTAGCATGCAAATCTTCCAACCAACGAGCCGTATTATTGTTGCAGAACCAAATAGTGTAATCTCTGGTAATATCAGTTTACAGCAACTCATTGCTACAGCGGCACACTGGGAGTTGTTGCTCACACATTTTTTTCTCGTAACACACTCCTTTGCTGCAGTATAAAGAAGTTCTGGTCTCTCATTTCATTACTGTAGAAGCTGTAGAAAGTGTATTCAATGTGACGACAATGTAGAGATGGTGTTGGGTAAGAATGAGTTATGGTTGTATGTATGTTTTTCTTATTGGAGGAGCTACTGAATCACATCCGCCGCTCTTGTGTCTTTGCTTCTTTATGCTGGCTAAATAAAATTGTCTGCCCCCTTTAATTAATGAATTTAAAAATTGATGTTTTGGACCCACAAAGGAGTTGCGTTGTGGCTTTTTAAAGCTACTAAGGTTTTGTTTGCAGTTTTGAAGAGGTGATTTTATTGGGACACAATTGAGTTAAATGTTTTTACTGCATGCAGGTCATATGTGGTATTATAAGACATGCAGTAGAAATCAGTTCAATTTGTGATTTATTCCTTATGCACACTTTTCCTCTCCAAGGATATGACCTTTAACGTTTCCCACCAGGTAATATTGAAATAGTGTGCTTTTTCTTGCTCTCCACCTTTCAAAGCATTTCCTGTTGGGCAATCCCCTACTGGCCGAAAGCCTTTCAAGTGCTACTCTATAAGCAGCGCAACTGTGCATTGTGCAATCGCGCTATTTGCATTTTACGCATGCACAATAATTGTACATGCCCATCACCCGGATTTTTCAATCTGGGTGGTGTGCCCGGTAGGCGGGAAAAACTGCTTTAAATATAGCTTTTTAGCATTCGTGTTGTGAAGTTTTGAAAGATCGAAAGTTGTGATGATTGTGAATCATATTTTTATTAATATTCAGGTGGCTGCCATAGCACTAGGGCCATAGACCATTCACCCAGAGCAAAGGGTGGAACCGTTAACAAACGAACATACACCATATGGACATGAGGTGTCTGTCTCACCTCCCAGACACCTCAACTCACCCCTTCCACCATCGACACCCTGCAGCTCCCCTGACGCAATCTGAGACTGGGTCTTTTGTACGCGGGGATTATCGCCGTATAACCTAACCTTCCTTAGCCCCCAAACATCTAAAATAAAACCTTTAACAAGGCCAAGCAATTTATCCTCCCACATCTCACTACCCAATATAAAGGATGCTTTCCTGAAACTATCAAGCGGCTGGAAATGCTCAAACCCATCATCCCCAAGCTTCCCCTGCAGGGCAACTAAGAAATTGCTCCTAAGACTACTATATGCTGGACACTCCCACAACTCATGACTCACACTTTCACACTCATCATCACACAACAGGCACTCCTTCATACCCTCCCTCCCCCTATGCCTACCCAGTTCCTCATTTAACCCATGCGTGCCCGACCTGAACTTAAACATTAATCTAGATCCAGCATCACTTTTCCCATGCAAATACTTTTTTGAACTCTACCACCTTGTTAAATGTATTATACAACAATAGCTTTACTTTGCTATTTAGCCCCTCTTCAAACTTTCTAATCTCCCTCTCGTTTATACTGTCCCCTACTATAGACAGAAATCCCTTCGAGGGGCAATCCCCATTCTAAATATCATGCAACCACTCTGCCTTGTCAAGACCTAATGACGAAAATAGATCATCGATGACCTTACTCCAACACTTCCTCTGCCTGCCTCTCCGTGGCTTAAAATTCCATTCCTGGTTAAAAACCTTCTTCAGATACCTATTGCCTGGCAATGCCGCTAACTTATACCACCACTTCAACTTATTCTTATCCCTACTCACTTGTAACGTATCAAACCCCATATCCCCCCTAACGGTTTCATTACATGTCTTAGACGAACACCCAAGGATATGCTTAGCTCTTCTTAGCATCACGGACTCTAACGCAGCTGCCTGAGTCTTATTGGCTTCCCACACCTCACTCCCATACTCTAAAGTTGGCCTAACCACCGCCAGCAGCAACAACCTGCGAGCACTCAAATTAATATCCCTATTACTAATTACACTATGCAACTGATTAACCTTCCTTCTACCATTGTGTAACACATTCTTGATATGCACATCCCATGCACCAGTACTAGTAAAATCAATACCCAAGTATGTGTATTTAGATACTTTAGGCAAAACATACTCCCCCCATTTCCAAGCACCATCCACTGACTCCCTAGCGAACACCATCACTGCACTCTTACTCACATTAGCCTTTAGCCTCCATTTCCTACAATAAGCATGCACTACACATCTATAAGCGCTGATCCTTAGACTCACTAACACCAACGAAGTCATCTGCAAACAAAAGGCCTCAAAGTCTCCCACCACTACTTAAATCAATCCCAATCTCAGCTTCCTCCACCTCCCTCAACAACCCATTGATAAATACGGAGAACAAAATTGGACATCCCTCAGCTACCCGAGGGTTAAAAATTGGAGATAAGCTACAACCCTGAGCTACCCACTGCTCCACATCCACATCAAATGCCTCTCACCGTTCCCCATCCAACGATACAGCACTCTTTGAATACTCGTACATCTTCTTTATGACCCTCCACATCTTCCCTCTTACCCCAAATTCCCACAACTTAAACCACAGGCCGTTACGCCACACACTATCGCATGCCTTATGCACATCTAGAAAGAATGCATATGTCTCCTTCCCCTCCTTTAGTCTACCCTGCACGAGTTCATTCAGCGTATAAATATTATCAACACAACCCCTTCCAACCCTAAAACCAGCCTGGCCCTCATGCAATGCCTTGCCCTCGTCCAGATGCTTCAGCAACCTATTTTTCAATCCCTTACAAAAGACCTTCCCGACCACACTTAGCAGAGTGATGCCCCTATAATACCCAGGATCCTCCTTATCTCCCTTCTTAAACAGGTTAACTATGAGGCCCTCCTCCGTCCACTGTGGTGGCACAAACTCCTCACGCCAAATTTCCCATACCATACCAGAACTTACTTCAGAAGCTCCACCACAAGCCCATCACAAGCCCATCACTACCACCTGTCTTGTTATTCTTCAACTTTATAACACACAATGCAATCTCCTCCAAATCTATTTCCCTATCCAACACATTTCCCACACAATCTGTTGGAAACTCACACACTTTCTTATCCACTTCCTCTTTCCAACTATCATCAAAGGCTGTATCAACACTACAAGTGCCCAACTGCTGATAATGCCTCTTTTTAACACCTCTTGCTTGCCCTTTGTACTAGTCACTGACACCCCAGCACTATTCCTCAAAGCTGTAATCCCCCTCCTCTTACCCTTTGTCCTTCTACCAACAAATGCCCAAAATTCTTTCCTATTACCTTCAAAATCTAAATTTTCTCTTTCCACTACATCATTCAAAACCTCAAGCTTTATCTGAACAACTAAATCCTTCACCTACCTACGCAGTTTACTATATTCCTCCCATAGATAATCCTGACCTTCAAGAATTTTCTTGTAAGCCTCCCTTCTCTGCTCTATCTTCTGCTTATCTCGTCAACCCACCACCTGACTGCCCTGCACACACTACTACCTCTCTCCTACCTCAGCCCTTGCCACCTTTTTTACAACCTGCTCCCACTCCTCTACAACTGCACTGACTAACCCATTTCCGCTAATACCCTCATTCACTTTCTCGCTGATGCTCTCTGAAAATGATTCAACCCCCACTTTCAAGGCCTCACTATACTTTGCCCCTCATCCGAAAATCTGTCTACACGCCACTTCCTTATTGTCCGCTTCTGCCTTTTACAACACTTTGTAACCCGGCGTAACTCCAGAAAATGATCCGTGGCACCAATATCAGTTACATTAACCTGTACATCACCAGATTCCCTCATCAGCCGCATATCCATAACTATATAACCTTTCACTGATTTCTGCTGCAGGCTCAGCCTTACTCTAGTCCACTCAGGCTCCGACACTAACTTCCTACCATTACATATCACCAGCTCCACCTCATTCAAGAATGAAATCAGCCTATTTCCACGGGCATTACAAGTCTCCCCAAACATCCCAATGACATCATCAACACCAGTAGATCTACCCACCCTCGCATTAAAATCACCAAGAAGAACAACCCTCCCCTTCTGCATGAATCCAAGCACATCCTCCTTCAACTTGACGTAAATAGCAGAAGCACAATTACTATCTGTAGGCATGTAAATGCAGCACACATACAATGCTTCCCTCCCTCTCCCACCTCAAACCTTCATCTACACTCTCTCCTCATACCTGACTTTACTTACAAACTCTACCTCGTCTATCAAGCACTCCCGAACGAAGAACCCAACCCCTCCTTCCCCTCTACGACTACTCTGATTCTCACGAGGCTTTCCAAACCATCTATAGCCATCAACAGCAACTGTCTTTCCCTCCCTTTCCCAGGATTCCTGACCAGCTACTGCATCAATCTTGAGCCTTTGCAAAAGCTCCCCTACCTCTCTCTGTTTACACTCACTACAAAGGCCTGAAAAATTCCATGTAGCGACTCTTAGCCTTCTGTCCTTTTTGCCTTGGCTTCTCATCCTCTCACTAACAACTGAAAGATTCACTTCACTGCCTTCAGGCACACCAGCTACATACTCTTCCACACTGTCACCTAGCTGAGAAAACCTATTAACACACTTGATGCCAACGTGTACAGCCTCTTTAACAGGGCAGGTTTCATCTAACACGCATCTACACCCAATCTTCCGAAGACAGTCTGAAATTTGCGCCACAACCGCCTTACTAAGGCCCTTACTATTCTTATGCAGTAACACTAACCTGACGTGATCGCCCTCCCAAGCAACGCTTCCCGTAGAAAAACCGACTAATCCTATATCCGCGAGATTCGCCCGTATTTCCAGCGTTGACAAGCTTTTAAGCATTCCCCACAAAATGATATTCACCCTAGCCCGTTTATTGCAACTCACGACCCAGTCTTGGGGAGCTGTATTCACCGATGCGTCATTGGTGGGCATTAATTGGAATTCGCGCTGCAGTTTGAAAGTAGGCTGCCGAAGAACTCCAAGAGTAGTAGATAATATTATGCATTGAGTAACTAAGTATATTTTTTAAAATTAACGGAGCAAATTTAAACGCTTAGCGTGTGTATATAAAAAAATACCTGCGTTTTGTTTGTTATGCCATTATATTGTTCTGTTACCTTACTTCAGACCGAAGTTTAGAAGATGTACTTAAAAAGCGAATTATGGTAATTGATGGCGCTATGGGAACCATGATTCAGAGCTGTAAATTGCAAGAGGAGGATTTTCGAGGTACATAAATTAAAATTCCATGTGATGTGTGTATACACATTTGATTATGCCGGTGCAAGAATGTGTAGACGATTGCAGCAACATTGGTCTGTTTCTTGAATGTGTGCAACATAATACATGAACTGAATATGCATTTAAACCCAAGTGTCCTGCAATATTTTTTTGGATTTGAGTCACGAAATTATTTATTAGTTACTCAATGCATAATGCGTTGTATGCCATAAGAAAAATGGGTTATGAACATGGATTACGAGCTGAGAACAATGAAAAGCACTAAAGTGCAAACCCTCGGTGAATTGCGCATGCGCGGTATATTGCACTAATTGATCGGCTGGGCTTTGTATGCCTTTACTCGTGGTATCCCGCTAGTTATAGCTCGCACAGAGTCTGACACGGACTAGCTACAGTAGTAGATAGCATGCTGGAGTCGATACATGCCCTTCGTTGTGACTTATTGTGCCTGCAAGATACACATAGCGAGCGGATGAGGTCGAGGTAAGCCCGTGCTAATTTGCATATTGGCTTGTTCACTTGCTTTTCACGCCATAACTTTTGAACGCAGCCGTTAGACGAAAGATTTTAAATTGAAGCCAGTGTAGCGACGATACCATTGGTATTGCTATTTTGTTATCTCGTTGTGCGTAGTCGCAGAAAACGTGGTAACAGACAGACGGACGGACAGACGGACAGACACACTTACAAACCAAGTACAGTAACCCTCGCTGTGCATTTGCGCCGAGGGTTATTTACCAGAAGATTTCGTGACACAAGCTTTAGTCTTATATGAAGAACAAACTATTTTTGCGTATGTGTGTCAAAATGTGTTGAAATTATGTGTTTGACTTTCATATTTATTTCACTGAACACAGTTTTGTGTGTTTGGGAGCTTTTGCATGCAAGTGGTAAATTTCTATTGTGAACAATAGAAGTGTATGGGTGTAGTACTAGTAAATCTGATTATGTCAATCTATTGCAGCCTTGCCAAACTTGTAACTGGATTAAAGGATACCTCTCCACTGTTTTTGTAAACACCATTAAGTTTATGTGTGCTAAAGCCGTAATGGGGTGGGCCCGGTGTTACTTGGTCCTTTTCGACTGTATGTTAACCTTCAGCTCGCATGCGCAGCGAGGGTTACTATAGTTAATTGGCTTGTGAATTTGTCTGTCTGTCGGTCCGTTCGTGTGCTACCAAATTTTCTGTGATTGCGCGCAACGAGACAACAAAACAGCGATACCAATTAGTTCATTGTTACACTGGCTTCATTGATGTGTTTGCAACGTCTATTTAAAAACTCTTTGGGGCCCAAAGGCACTGGAGTGGCTTTTTACGTAGATAACGCAGAGTACAAATATAACGCGTTGGTGTGCATCCGCTTGCCTTCTCTTTCTGTGGGATAAAGCTCTCCTTTGCAACTGACCGCTTTCCTGCGACATTCTCTTTCAATATTACAAACGCTAATGCACAAATAGAGCTTGTCACGCCTTCTGGTAACTCGAGGGCGCGACATGCGTTCGGTGCGCACAGTCCGTACGTGCCAACTGCGCACACTCACAGGATCTGAGATACTCCTCCTTTCTAGCCCAAGCAACTAAGCTAACGCCTCCACAATGGCCTGGAAGTTCAGCACTAACACGGAAGTAACTTTTTCAGTTGTGAAAATGAGCATTCCAGCTTTTTCATTGCGCGTAAAAATAACGTAATATAATAAATTGTGTCTCAAACAGTTAACAAGTGAAAAATTCTTCTAATTAATGAAGTGGGGAATATAGGGATACCATAAAAAGCAAGGAGACGAAGACAGGGATGATCTAGTTCATGTGATGCAGTTGTATAGTTAGCTACATGCATCTTCAAACTGACATTGCTATATTGTCTCCACTTAAACATGAGTGTCTTATATGGAGTGGGAGGATAAGAATCTGGAGGGCCAAGAATGCAGCATTGTAAAACTGGGTATTTGATTGAACATGGAAGATATAGACTATAAAACCCAGTCACAACTCAAAACTGAGGACCTGTCAGAGAGAGGGCATTGACTACCTGTCTTACATGCTTTGGAAACGTGTCATAGCTAAACATCTTTTGATGGGAAATAACCTCTACTTTGCCTGAATTTAGGGATTGTGTAGAGGATTATTTACACGAGCAAGTAATGTTAGTTTGAAGATTTAGCTAACTGTACTACTGCATCACCTGCACTATAGTCTACTCCATCTGAGTAGGCCGCGGTTTTGGAGCCGAAGTTCACGTAGGGGTTGTCAGCACATATTTTGCATGCTTGTGGCATTCTAAGGTGCGTCCATTGGCATTACGCAATACAGAATTGAACACGTGTACCGTATAGCTATTTTCGCGGCTGCAAAATTTCGCGAAATCGCCTGTGGTGCCTCCAGAAGAAATTATCATGGTTTATATTTTATATACATCATTCACAGTCGCTGTTGTACATTTCACTCGCAGTCATCTACGCGTGTACGGTCATCATTCTGTTCTGTATCACTCACAGTTGTCAGTCTGTTCTGTATCACTCACTGAGTATTATGGATCTTTGCAGCCACTATACTATCCTTTTCTATGCCTACTTTTGTGCATTTCCGGGTGATAGTAATACGTGCGTAAAGTAATCATTTCCGCATTCCTTGCAGTTCTTGGTTTGCCTTTAGAAATGTATGGAGAAAGTTAGTGGATGGGTTTTCAAGCGCACAGGCCTACTGTGCAGAATATGGTAGGATTTGGAAGAGCGCAAGGAATACAATGACATTTGAATTATATTCCATGCATAACGAGCACGGTAGCTATTAACGGGAGTATCATGGCCTACTCAGCTGGAATAGACTGAAGCTGTCTTGTCCTTATGCCATCCAAAGAATTGTTATTCACTTGTCTTATTTTCACGTGCATGGTGTGCAATATAATGTTTGGGGTATAATGCCCATATAAAAAGAAGCATTAAGGGCCTATTTGTTTATTGCCGCTGATTGTCTGTCGTCCTTTTCATGTTATTTTCACCAAAATATATTATTGTACCACACGTTTAACGTATACCTCGTGAATAGAATACGCGTTACACACACTGGAAGCGTTACGCACTGGCTGAAATTCAGCTTAGCGCATGAAGGTAAAAAAGGGGGTGACCGAGCTAACTGAGATGCAGCAATAATGTCGGCAGAATTCAAAAAGCGAGGAAACCAGAGAGATATCCTGGCCGTTATACAGACAGTTTTGCTTCCAAAACACAGTGCCGCGCGTGCTTCTTGTTCTTGGTCTTTTCACGATTGGTGCGACACGTTGGGTCCATGGCGTTCTGTGCTCATTTTCTACCTAGTCTTGAGGCTCTGTAGAGCCTAGAAAGACAGCTAGTGAGCTAGAAAGCTTCCAGGCCGCTTAGAGATTTTGAACTTCCGGTCGCCCTTTTTTTGTCTGCCACCCCCACGAGGTGCTCGTTTAATAATTAAGGATGGGATTACTTAGTACAAGTAAAAGAATTAAAAATGTGTGGAATATAGGGATGCTCCTGTCCAATTATACCACACTCTTCATATATGAGTGAAGTAAGTTTTTTTTGGAAAGTAGTGTTCAAGCCATGATATAAATCTTTGACATGTTTCAGTATGGTGTAAAAATTCCTATAGTGCTGGCTTACCATAAACAGAATTTAAAGCATTTCCCAGAATTTAACAGTCCAGTAAGTCACACAAAGAGGTACGTAAGAATCTATGAAGGTATGTAGTTTTTGCATTTTGCAGGTGACGAATTTAAAGATCATTCAAAAAATCTTAAAGGAAATAATGATATTCTCAATCTCACTAAACCAGATATAATTTTTGAAATCCACAAGGTATGTTCCTAGATTTTTAACTAGTAATTGTTGGGACTGTATTTTTGTGCTTTAAGGAAAGTATTGTGGTTATATTTTTTAAAGATGCATTCACAGACAGACACAGAGTCTAACTCTTTTTTTAATGTACATGTGTATTTTATGTTTTGGCTTGCGTAGCTGTAACTTCTTCGTAGATCTTCATCGCCTCTGACTTACTTTACATTACACAAAGAGTACTACCTATATTTGTTGTCGCCAGCTTGTTAGGCGGGTTTGTGCTTTTTAAACCCTTGTTACACATGCACAGCAGTACTTGGTCTGTATGTCTGTGTGTTGGTTGCTATTCACGCCCTAAAGGCTACAAAGCGGCGTACATATAAGTTACACAACTGGCCTCCGAACTACTGCCTGGATAAAAATGCCTATTATCCTGAAGGTGTATACTATCCTAATCTAAAAACAGGCAGTATGCATTTTAGAACTTGCTTACCTTGCTCTGTGTACTCTGGAGGCATGTGCAGCAATTATGGTACTAGGTCTAGACGTCTGTCTGTGTGCCTCTTAGCGCGTTTCTGCCACTTGGCAAAACAAGACGACCAAAGAGCTATGCCAACAAGCGCTAAATGGGCCTAATTTTAAAACGGGCGATTTTAATAAAGTACTGAGTTTAAAAGTTATGGCGTATTAACTAAGTGAACAAGGCTAATTACATACCAGTTGCTTACGCAATGTACCATGGCTTGCAAAGCCTCAAGGACATAGTCAGGAGGCCGAGGAATAGGAAGTTGAGGAGGGAGAGTTCGTAGATATAGAGGAGCACTTGCATGAGGTGATGGAGCAGGTGATCTCGGGACTGGACATGGAGGAACGGCAGGTTGACATTGACGAGAGGGCGAGTGTGGTGGCCATGACAGAAACAATGTGAGGCTGCTGGGAAGGTATTGGCTCCCGTCCTTGCTCCTCCCAGTTCTCCACTTACCATCTTATGTCAGTGCGAGCGTCTTGCTCTTCGCTTACATGCTCCCGTCCTTGCTCCTCCCAGGTATCGGCTCCCGTCCTTGCTTCTCCCAGTTCTCCACTGATCATCTTCTGTCAGTGCGAGCATCTTGCTCTGAGCTTACACGCTCAGAGCTCAACATGGTAGTGATGGGTGGATTGAACGATGACTACAGAACCACCCCGCACCACAGAAACAGAGAGAGAGAGAGAGACTGACAGAGAGCACCCTGCACATTCCACCACCAAGGCAAACAGGTGCTACTCCACCTTCACAAATCTATGACGATCACTTCTTCCTTCTATCATCCTAATGAAGCCCATGACCGACCTCTTGTGTCAGTGTCAGAAGGCGAGTGCAGCCATTCAGCGCTCCACCAACCTCTCAGAGGAAGAGAAGTCGGAGGCAGTCCGGTCGGCACAGGGGCACCTCCGCATTGTCCAGATGAAGCGATCGTTCTACACTGCCTCCTGCGAAGTTTGCTCCAAATCGGTAAGGTCCCACTTTCAGAGCCATGCTCCTTTCTCTCCCCCTCTCCCTTCCAATCACATTCCCTCCAACTCCAACCACACCCCAGTGCATTACAGCTTCGATTATGCACTGCAGGTTTGTCCTAATAAAGCAATCAACTCGTAAGAGTTTTATTAGAAATATAAAGTAACTACACCGTTTTTTATAGGTTCACTTTCCATCGGACCCGATGCAGCCATGGCCCATTTACTTCCTTACTCCGAGGAAGTGTTCTGTCTTTGCGGTAGACTGTGAGGCAATACCTCGCCCAATCAACTTTCTTACAGATGAGTATGGCGAGGTAGGGAAGGGCGAAAACGCAGTGATCAGTAGGCTGCACTACTTCTTTGATGTTCACAGTCTGGGGGAAACAGGCGTCTTTCTTCACACGGACAACTGTACTGGACAAAACAAAAACAACGTGATGATTGACTACCTGATGTGGAGAGTGATGGCAGGACGACACACTAACTTTACTTACTCTTTTTTGATTGTTGGGCACACCAAGTTCAGCCTGGACTAGTGTTTTGGGCTCTTCAAGTTAATTGCGGGTGACGATGTTATGTTGTAACACGGACTTGTTACGAGAATACGGAGGTTGAAATTTGACACCGGAAGTTCAACTTCAGACGCGATTTTTCATGTTAGATGCAGTGGAATGGCACTTGCGTTTGTGCTCATAATTTCGCAACGGAACGGGCTATGCCCCTGAAACAAACGGCAAACGATAGAGCATATATAGGACTTTCGGTCTATCGCACAAAAATATTTTGCGAATTTGCGTCATAAGGGTTGTTTTCTCAGAGCCTGTCACATATTATAAACTCCTGACAAATTTTTCATAAAGAAACCCTTGTTTGATTCGTAGAGAAGTAACGAGCATGTTGCGCTTTACATATATCTGTGTTTACATGTTAGACACGGAAGTGAGATGTCTACACTACATTGCAATTCAAGGGACTGGGGAATGTGGTGTCCCAAGCACAGGAAGGGAGCTACCCACATCCCCCGGGGTTGCAATGTTGCAGGGAAACTGAGGTTTGACATCTAAATGGTTTAGACTGGAGAATCAGAGTAACACGGACTTCACCCATTGTTGGAGTTTGTTCTTCAAGCCTGACTCTTTCTTTGAAGTAGGATACTGTGCATGATGTCTTACACGGGAGCTGTGGACATAGTTACCAGGGTTCTCGCAGCTTTTAGCAATGGGGAGCAACGCCTTTTGCAGGTGCTTCTCTACCAGCCCGCCTCCTACTCTACTACACGAGGATGGCATAGAAAACAAGTTTTAGAATCACTACAGTTTTGTACTGGGAATTTGCTGTAATAGGGATTGTGTGATGAGGTTGGGAGTGTCGTGCTCAAATCTGTTAGTTAACCATGCTTCATGTATCTTGTAAAAATCACTCTTTTCGTAGTGTTGTTGTGCATGGTTGCAGAAACCAATTCGATACTACTGTTGCTAGCCAAAGCATTTACTGGCAAAAGTTGATTCTGCTGAGAATGAAGGTCTTTAACACTAAGTGGCTGTCCTTCAATGAGGCTGTTTAAGGTTTCTTGAACAACCTAGAGCCCCTTATGTAAGTTGTATGGATTCAACGCCAAAGAAAGCTTGGTTTTTCATTTCTAGAAAATACTCACCTTTTGGCTGTCTTTCCCTTACTTGCTCGACTTAGAAAGTTATTAACCCTCGGCGCGCATGCGCCGCGAGGGTTACAGTACTTGGTTTGTCCGTCTGTCCGTCTGTCCATCTGTCCATCTGTTACCACGTTTTCTGCCACCACGCGCAACAAACAGGTAAAATAGCGACATCAACGGGTTCAGCGCTACACTGGCTTTATTTTAAAAATGGCGATTTTCGTAAAAGTGCCGCATTCAGAAGTTATGGTGTGAAAACCAAGTGAACAAGCCAATATGCTAATTAGCACTAGCTTACCTCGACCTGATCCGCTTTATCTGTGTACCTCAGAGTCACAACGAAGGGCGTGTATCGACTCGCGGACGCTATCTACTACTGTAGCTAGCCCGTGTCAGACTCTCCGCGAGCTACTAGCAGGAGATCACGGGTAAACGCAGACCAATAGGCCCAGCCCATCAATTAGAGGTACAGCGCATGCGCAGTTCGCCAAGGGTTTGCACTTTAGTGCTTTTCATTTACAAGGCAATGCATGGATTTCAACACACGGCTCGCATGTGAAGCGAGGGTTATAGTACTTTGTTTGTCTGTCTTTCTCTGTCTTTATGCTTATTCTACAGGCTGTCAGGCGGCCTATTAGCAATACCAATGGCTTCAGAACTACACGAGCCTGAGAAATGAAAACCAATTTTTCTTTAAGCAGTCACACTCAACAAATATGAATAGCCTTGCTTACGTTGACCAGGTTTAGCCTGTTTAGTGCACCGTTACAGGTTGAAGTCACTCAGGGATTGCGTATTTATTTCAGCGTTTCTCCAATCATACTAGCAAACCTGTGTAGACGTCGTGGTGTGGCTCGTCCCATGAATTAATGGTTCTTTGTATTCATGTGTATTGTTCACTAGAACGCCTGTGTGTTTTATCATTCGCTGAGGGTAGGCATGAGTTAATTATGCTTGAGAACGAAATTCCCAAAATATTAATTTCATTATGCTCATTATTTGCCTCATAACGCTTATCAGTCTTATGACAATGACGTACAGTGCATTTTAAAACCAGTGAAAATACACAATAGAACAACACAATGAAACAGAAGAGGAAGGTACTTAACGGTTATTATACTGAAGCATTATGGATGTTTCTACGTAGTCATTTAGTGAATGCTGCTGCTGTTCTGAAAATGGGGCAGTTAAAAGAGAAAACTCGCTCAGCAGCGTCAGACGATGGTAAGAAGCAACAGTTGCTTAGCTGCAGTTGACCACTTTGGAAGGCCATGGGAGTTGATTTTCCACCACTCAACTGCTGAAATTTCTGCGCCACTTCGCTATATAAGAGGGCAGTTCCTGCTTAATATCTCATCCTGATTAAGGAAAGGGAATATAGCTAGTGAATGAACTGCTGAGGTGTTCTCTGGTTGCATCGCTTCCAACTTATGAGTCTAGCAGCTTTGAACGCTGTTAGAGAATCATGTAGATTTGTACGAAGTTGTGTGTTGAAATGGTTAAGGCCTGGCTCTATACATCTCTGGGAGTAGGCCTTAAGTTGAGCTTGTCGTTGAGGCATGGCTGTGCAGAGTTCTCGTACAATAGCGTCTATATTAGGCGTGTACCCTGTCTGAATCGCAGCCTTAACTTCTTCAATAATTTCATAGCTGTTCAATACTAATGCTCTGTCACCTTCAAGGTTGTAGGTAGCCGTGACAAAAGGCCTTCCTAAGTCGATTGCAGCTGCCAACTCAATCTTGAGATACATCTTGCTGTTATCAGAGATGTTTCTGAACCTCGTCACAGTTGCTGGTGATCCCACTTCATCCCGTTGCAGAAATCGATCTACATGCCCAAATTGCACCATCAACTGTTCCATAACCTCCCAGCGGCTCCACCATCTGGTTGCACTGTAGCTCTTCATTGACTTTCCAGTCTGTTCAAACCAGAGAGCCTTGCTTTTAGGGCTATGCAAAAAGAGACTAATCCAAGCTGAAAGGAACTCTTCAAGCACTGGCGTCTGAAATTTCTCTCCCACACGATCTAATGTGTGGAATGTGAGGGAGAAGCACCCAATCACAATGGGGGTAGAGAACCTTCTCTCATGCATGTGAGGAGGGCTGTGGGAGTTATGTGGTAGTCAATGGAGAGGGTGGATGTGACTTCTCTCCCCATTAAGCTTTTCTGAAGCATTTTGAGGGCGATTAGTCGTCGCTCGATTGACCAGTCGTTAGGGATGTATCTAACTACTAAGCTCCACGACATGTTCGAAGAGAATCGAAATTTGACGCCCACTAAGCTCTGAAAGGATATGCTGTTTTTCCTGTTTTGGAGACAGAGTGTGTCCGTCTCCAAGGCAGTAAGCACCTTCTTCGAATAATTCTCGAAAGTGGCAAATTTTGTCAAGGGGAACTTCAGATTGAAGAAAGACAGTTACAACTCTAACCCGAAAAACTTGTTGTGCCTCCGGTAAATTCTCCCCTACAAGGTGATCAGTACAGTTTTGTGCTTCAATGCAATTGCTGTAATATCTTTCTCTCTAGCTTCTTTCATACTAAACTTCTTCTTTGCATCAACATGCTTCGTCAATCGTATATGATTCTTGATTGTGCTACTTTTTACGTGGAGTTCTTCCCTACATGCACTGCAAAAGAGTTTACCCCTCGACACAACAAGTTGCTCACCTGGAAATCCCTTCACCCTTTCCAGAGGGGTAACTTTCTTTTTGCTCAGAACTTTGCGCTTCCGGTTCAACGCAGATGGCTTAGCAGCCCGTAGAACGTCCAGCACCGACGGGATGGTTACTTCCTGGCCCTGGGAGGAAGTCTTTGCTTTCCGAGGGATAAGTGCACTAATGTGCATGAACACTGCATAGCAATGCAACACCTGTATCACATGCACAGGTTGCTAATTGATGGGATTGGCTATGCTGTCAATTTACAAATGGTATCTCCGTCGCTTGCTGAGACTCTGACTAGGTTGATAGCATCATTGGACTTTATACCCATCCTCTGTCGTAACTTCTTATTCCTCCCCAGTGTGCTGGGAGAGCCCAGTGGAAAACTAGCCTGTTCTTTTTGTAGCATGATCGATGACATGTGAACGATATACGTTGGTGTAGTGACAGGACGATTTACTTGGGAAGTGTAGCACACAGTCTGTCGTCTGCCATCCTGGCTGTCATTCCTGTCTCCATGTGCTTGCTTCAAGCGGGAGCTTTTACTCTCAGTAAAATGCGGGTATTTCAGGGCGTGGGTGCTCATGACAGAATTGTCAAGGGCACGCCCCTCTTCTTGGGAGTGTGAGACTTCTCATTCTAGACTTGTGTTTAGGTTCCGTGTGAACCCTACTGTATTTATTGCACCTTTACTGGGAGTGTTCTCTAAAATTGCAGTACTTCTATGATCGGTGTTATGTAGGTACGTTACTTAAACTGCACAGTTTGAATTCAAGGAAAGGGAAGATTATTTTGCTGCAAAAGAATGAGGATATAATATTTTATTTTTTGCTCTTTGTATATAATGTATTTCTGAGTGTGGGTCCCGTACATTTGTATAGGAGTTGAAAATTATGCAAATGTCGCACATAAATAGGTGCATACGTGTGCAATTACATTTCGTTTGTTGGACGGTGTCAGTTGACAAATTGTGCGATTGAAAAATATTCCAGCATGTCCTGTTTCATGAACAAGTGTAGCTAACATGCCAAGTAATGTAACACCCGTGTCGAATAAAGCCCACACCGATGGTGAAAGCCGTGAAATACAGTACTTTTACGCACTCAGGCAGATAGTCACGCCAATATATGCTGGCTGAGGGTCTGCGTGTAGTAAGACGCGATAACATGCTCCACCCGCAATCACCCGATACGCTCCCGGTATGTCGCCGTCTTTTTTGGTGATGCTTGTTTGCGTGTAACTGCGCAATGACATGCCCACGTTTGTGCGTAATGGGGAATACACCTATGCCTGAGCTTGCGCGCTTTATTTTACACAGGCAGGACATGCACTCAAAGAAGCGTTAGAGACTCTAGTTCAGGAAGCATACATGGTGAGAGACAGTGAGTTCATTATAGCAGATAGTACTGGAAATGCCTACTGGTCTAATGTACCATCGAACTCCTCATCGAAACACAATATTACTGAAGAGATGCTAGTCGCATATGTGGAATACTAATTATGTTAGTATAGGTAATAGACAGGGTATAGGGATTCCAATGGGAACAGATTGTGCCGTTTGTGGCAGTTTTATTATGAATATAATGAAATGATAAAAACAAATTTGATGCTGGCAAAAAGATTCAGTAACCCAATGAGGTATATTGATGATTTGCTGACATTAAACAACACATCGTTTAATTCAACCATTGATGACATATACCCAGAGGAGCTTAAACTAAACAAACACCTGAATCACCAACAACACTGTCATACTTAGATATACATATCACTAAGTACGGTAGTAGGCTATGATAGGGAGTTTTGTTCATCATCATCTTCTTCTTCTTCTTCTTCTTCTTAAACCAGCGTAACTCAAAAACTGAAAGAGATAAAGCCATGACATTTTGTAAGAATGTACAGATCGATAACCACATGTGCAACGTCATACTTTTTTGTTTGTAAACAAAAAAAAAATTGGCCCAGGCCATACATTATAATGGGCATACTACATGTGTTAGTGTAGCTCACAATCGGTAAGAGTTATGGGACCTAAAGTTTGTATACACAATGTATTCAATAGCCAACATCAAAATGACAACAATACATGCTTGTAAATAACAACAAATTGCCTCAGGCACTTTTCTTGAAATTTACTTCTTCACTCCTCAAACTTTCCAATAGTAGCACGCATAGAGATGAAACTTTGTACGTATGCCTATGATATCATTTCCATGACGATTACATGTTTCCATGACCACCACATATTGTTCGAAAATGCCTCAGGCAGTTTTCTTTAAATTACTTCTTCACGTCTCAAACTCCTTAATGGTAGGACGCGTAGAGATGAAATTTGGTACGTACGCCTATTATATCATTTCCATAACAACTACATGTTTCCATGACGACCGCATACTTTTTGAAGAAACCTCAGACGATTATCTTTATAATTACTTCCTCACTCCTCAAACTCGCACACATGGAGGTGAAGCTTGGTGCGCATGTGTGTTACATCGTTTCCATGACGACCACAACAACAAATAGCCTCAGGCACTTTTCTTTCTTCATTCCTCAAAATTTGCTAACTGTAGCACCCATGTAGGTGAAACTTGGTACGCATTGTGTGTAACATCGTTTCCATGATGACCACAACAACAAATAATAGCCTCAGGTACTTCTCTTTAAAATTACTCCTCCAACTTGCTAATGGCAGCACACATGGAGATGAAACATGGTATGCATATCATTTCCATCATGACAACAGGCATTTCTTCCTCTATTATTAATTTTTTTATAGACCCCTTCCACAGAGATAATACGTAGTAGTATATAAAAATGAGTGGAGACAAGTAAATTAAAAATCCTGTGAACTTAAAAAAAGAGGCATATAGGGATGGTATAAAAAGAAAGGGAGACAAGATAGGGATTGGATACATGAAGCATGGTTAATGAACTGATTTGTGTACGCTGACACCCCCAATCCCATCACACCATCCCTATATTGTTGCCTAGGTGAAGTATTAAACATTCGCCATTACAATACTCAGAACTTACAATGCACTACTGAGTACCCAACACCCTTATAGAGTCCAAGTGGAGTTTAATTAAAGGGAATGTGGCAGTATAAATGTTACTAAAAGCAACAAGGACACAGTGAAAGAAGAGTAGCACACCAGGCAACAATAATATAGGGATTGTGGGATTGGGGGTGTCAGCGTACACAAATCTGTTCATTAACCATGCTTCATGTATCCAATCCCTATTTTGTTTCCCTTTCTTTTTATACCATCCCTATATGCCTCTTTTTTTAAATTCGCAGGATTTTTTATTTACTTGTAACTATAACAAAAGGGAAATATTTCACGGCAGTATATGATAAATGAGATGATTTTAACTTCAAAATTGTAAATTTTCCACATCTATGTTCCAATATTCCATCTGGACCAGCATATGGAGTCTATATTTCCCAATTAGTAGTGATTACTCGAATTTTACGTTGAGTCATTTCAAACTAACGGAGCGACTGATTCATCAACGATACAGATATTCTGATTTGTGCAGGTTCTTTTATAAGTTTTCTAAAAGGCATGCACAAATTATGAAAAAGTTTAGCTACAGCATACACAAACATGTGGAGGATGGTATATGTTCCTAAGTCGCCATGTCTCGCATAGATAGAATGTATATTTTTAGTGACATATATGTTTTGAATAATCAGTTGTAATATTATATGCTGTGCGTTATTTAGAGTAATCACACGTTTTTTCTATTTAAGTTGCATCGTCGTACTGCGTAAGTTTCAGAGTTTTTATATTTTTCTATGAGTCTATTAATCCTTCGAGGCTTTCTATTTTTCTACTGGCTGTTGATTTTATCCTGTAGCTGCCGTTTTTTGTATATAATCTATCTATTTATTCTCTAACTATGTGTAAGGGAGGTTGGGACACTTGGTGTGTAGGGAGACTCTTTAACCTGGCCCCGGTTCTCAAGGATGGGCATCCAGGGTCCTGCCTCTCTATTTATGTTTATATGTAGTTGTCTGACATTTCTATTTTTATATTTTTCTTACACGTTTATATGCTGTGCGTAATCGCACGTTTTGTCTATCTAAGTTGCATTGTCGTACTGCATATGTTTCAGAGATTTTATATATATATATATATATATTTTTTTGTATGAGTCTATTAATTTGGATGCGGTGGTTTGAGGGCTCTTTCTTTTATATGGCTATAAACATGTTTTTTCATAAATGTATTTTGAACAATGAACGCGTGTTGTGCTTTTCTCAAGAGTGCGGGGATGCATGCGTGACTTCTATTTCGTGCACATTTTCCAAGTATATGAGGCATTATAATATATAAGTAAAAAATTTTTCCTGTTTGCAACCCATGCAGGTTAACTTATCGAAGCTCAGAAGTGCAAATCGTTCAAACGCCAGATACATAATATGCAACACAAGCATTAGCATTGTACTATAACCGCTAGTAATTGGCTAGGTTTCTTCCTAAAAGTCTGGCACGAACTTGCTACGCAGTCATAGTCAAACCGGTACCCACCATTTTTGTAGCCCCTATTGTGCTTATAATTGAAGGATGGCCTAAAACTTTGAGCAGACAGATACACAGATGTACAAATGTAACCGTTCCGACGCTTATACGCTTACATGTGAAAATGCGACAGTTATGCACTTCTAAATATAAATTAGGCACCGATTCGAGGAAACTACGAGGATTTAGCTGTCCGAGTGCTAGCGAGGACGCTACTGGAGGGCCCGAGGCTTTCTAAATTGCGTGCCAAACTGATTTAGAGCCATGGCAACCATGCCTTCAATTCGAAAGACACAAAGCATGCAGACGGCAAACAGAGCTTCTGTAGCAGTTCTTTCTCACGAAACCCCAGGTACTTGGTCTTCTAGCAGGTACACACGCACATGCGAAAAGCGCACAGCAGCGACCCCGCCTACTTTTGCGTCACAGAAGAGTCACGCTGGCAGCCGACAAGCGTCTCTCTTAGCTTGCCTGAGGGGTACTGCGTAGCTGGTTGGCGTCTTTCCAAATTTTCTGTGATGTATCCACATTTCTGCGCATGATAACAGTGGAATGTGCCTCGGGGAGGACTTGTATATGTAGAAGTCCGCTGATCAGTCAGCGGAATACTAAGTGAAAGAGTAATAGTATTCCTCTGATTGACCAATCACTAGAGCCTGGCTCTAAGTATATAGTATACTACACCATACATCAGTGGTATGAGGTTCGTCGATGTGTTGTATTGTCAACCACTACCAGCTAAGTTGCCCTTGTAACTCAGTTGGTAGAGCTCTTGCCTAAACTGTAGAGTGTCATGGGCTCATATCCCAGCTCTTCATTGTTGATTATTTTGCAGTGCCTTGCCCTTTAAATCTTGAACATGACTCATGTTGGTTCTTAATTGTACTTCAGCTGTAAAGGCTTTAGTATGCTGTATCATTCATTACTCTAGGAGTATTTGGAGGCTGGAGCTGATTTTGTTGAAACAAACACTTTCAATGGAACGTCTGTGAGCCAGTCTGATTACGGTACACAACATTTGGTAAGTTATTGGGTAATATGTGACCATGTACGCGGAAACCAACCATACGTATATTGGTGAGGTAAATTTTTAGATACGTGCACGTATTGTGAGCTGAGGCTACTATAGTAAGTTTTGGTGTTTTTGGCTGAGAGTGAATTATAGGCTATCCACTTAGAGCGGCGAAATCCACACGTGGTATATACCTGCTGGAAGCGGCAGCCATGTCGACCGCGTCTCTTTGTGACACGGAGAGATAAACGGTAAGTATACAGGGCAGTAAGCTGACCGATAAGGTTTTATTCCAACTTGTGCTTTTTCATTAGTGATAAACATCACAGTGGGATCCTTGTTGTCTAGTTCTACCCTCATATGCAAGATAAAAATAATCATCCTTGGCGTCCTCTGTTGTCAGCCCGCTAAACATCGACATATTTACTGCTGCGTGAGTATACGGAAACTTTACTACTGGGGATGTGCATAGCAAAAATTACCGTTTCTACAGATTTGTGTTTTTAGAATGGCCTTCCACAAAAAAGCGGCTCTCGCACAAAAACAAAGCGGCCAATCACGTTCAAAGTTACTGTTTGCTTCCAGCACTGGTTTTCTCTCTCCTGGAGAATCTTTGAAGGCGAATTATGAAAGAGTTTAGTAAAGCATGTACAAACAGCAATGAAAAGCACTAAAGTGCAAACCTAGGAGCACTGCGTATGCGCGGTTCCGCTCTGGAGCTGTCGTCAGATGGCTCCCATCTGGCGATCTGTCCCTTAGTGTGTACGTAAGTGCAACCCTGTTTCCTCCCACGTGTACTGAGTTCTGTGTTTGCATAAGTGGATTTTGGGTGAGTGCACTACCTGGATGACTTCTTCGTCGCTGGAACACCCGACTCAGAGCAGTGCTCACAACACCTGCACACTGTCGTTTCCCTTTGCGCTGCCCTGGGGATCCCACTGGCCGACGACAAACGGGAAGGACCAACCACTTGCCTCGAGTACCTAGGCATACTCCTTGACTCTGCCTCCCTTGAAGCCCGCCTCCCCCCTGATTAACTCCATGACATACACCACTCTCAGGACACCTGGGCAACCCGTTCCAGCTGCTCCAAGCGGGAACTTCTGTCCCTTATTGACAACCTAAGCTTTGCAGCCAAGGTGGTCCCAGCTGGAAGGACCTTCCTCAGAAAGATGATCGACCTCAGCTCCTCTGTTGCCTCCCTAGACTAGGTCATCCCCCTCTCCGAGGACCTCATGCTCAACCTCCAGTGGTGGCAGAAGGTTGCCACCCCGTGGAATGGTCGATCCTTCTTCCTCCTGCCAGACTGGACCCCCTCCCCCCACCTCCTGCTCTTTACCGACAGCTCAGGGACCACTGGGTTCGGTGCCTACTGCCAGGGTGAGTGGTTCAACGGCCGCTGGTCTACGGCTCAGTTGGAACGGAGTATCCAGTGGAAGGAGCTCTACCCAATCGTGCTCGCAGCAGCAGTTTTGGGTGAACAGTGGCGTACTCTACGCATCCGCCTACTTTGCGACAACCAGGCGATAGTGCATTGCTTAGTGTCTGGCTCCTCCCGTTGCCCTCATGTAATGACTCTCCTCCATAGCCTCCTTCTTTTCGCTGCTAAAGACAGTTTTACTGTGTCTGCACAACACATTCTAGGCACCCACAATGTTATTGCTTACTCTCTTTCTCAGTTTCGCATGCAGGTGTTTCGGTCACACGCTCCACAGGCCTCACCCCAGCCAACCCCTCTCCCTCGCTCTCTTCCCTTGATGGAAAAATGACCTACTACTTGCATCACTCCCTGGCACCATCCACCCGCGCCTCCTACTCCTCCGCCCAGCGCTGTTTCATAGACTTTTCCTTAACATACAACCGCCTGAACACGGCAGGCTCCCCAATCTGTGCCTCCGAGAACACCCTTATTCTCTTTGCCACATATCTCACACACACCCACAAACCTCAGTCTATCAAACTCTACCTCTCCGCCGTCCGCACACTACACCTAGAGGACGGTCAGCCTGACCCAAAATCGGAGGCAGTCAACCTCCGACGCCTGATGCGTGGCATCAAGCAGGTGCATGGCAACACCCCCTACTCCCGGCTTCACATCACTCCTTCCCTCTTACGCTCGTTTCGCTCCCTTCCTTAATGTCTCCTACCCTGACCACCTAACTCTTTGGGCCGCCCTACTACTTGCCTTCTTCGCCTTCCTCTGCAGCGGCAAATTCCTCTCACTCCACCTCAGTGACCTGCACAGGACAGCGGACGGGTACCAGGTGCACATCAAACAGTCCAAGACGGACCCGTTCCGCTCTGGAGCTGTCGTCACAGTGTTCCCATGTGGCGACCTGTCCCTCTATGCAGTCACTGCCCTGAACTCCTACCTAGTGACCCATGGCCCCATAGAACACACTCTGTTCCTCAGCAGCAGCCGCAGCTGGCATCCCAGACTGGAGTATCCTAGCCCTGAGCCGCTGGAGCAGAGTGGCACTCAGACTGTCACCTGGAACGAGACGCACTCCCTCCTCGTCTCCAGAGTGGCACCCAGACTGTCACCTGGAACGAGACGCATTTTCGCCGCGCCCAGCTCTGCCAGCACTCGGCACCTGGCCGGCCTTAGGCATTCCCTTCACTCCCAGCTCTGCCATTCTGCCTGGCACCTTGAGCCGGGACGCACTAAAACACCCTGCCCAGCACCGCCATCCTCGATGGCACCTGGCCGGTCACAGAGCTGTCCCTTACATGTCGGGTTTGGCCAAACAATTAGAATAAGTTTGCCTCACATGGACTTCTATCACGCGAATGATTGTTTTAATTGACCCCTACTGTATAGCAAGGGAGACAGGGGAGATGGGGATACATGAGAGACGTGGGAGACAGGGGAGACGTGGGAACCAAGAGATACAGTGGATAGAAGGGAGACAAGGGAGACAGGGAAGACATGGGAGACTGGGGAGACAATAGAGACGGTGTAGTTATAGTTATGGGTAGAATATACTGATTCATCATATTTCTTGATGGCTTTGCCGTTTCCAGTCTGCATTCTCGTGCGTGCCTTAATGTGCAGGTGCGTTATCACTCGTGCTTTCATGTGTGAGTGTTTCCGTCTGTGTTCGTGCATGATCATCCTTGAACATTCGATTGCATTAGATTACGGGCGATGATTAAAACATCCACACGCAAGTTGGGGGATGTGTTCGGCACACCGGATAAACAAAGAGGCTGCTAGAATAGCGAAAACAGCATGTGAACTGGTTCAAATGAAGTCAGGTGAAGGCATGCAGTTATGTCTATTATCACTAGTTAAACATTTACGAAAACAGTTCTTTTTTGACGTGCCTGATGCAGTTGTTTATTTGCTATAGTAATATTAACTTACGCAGAACTTCTGTGACTTTCTCGGCTCAGCTCTGGTAATAAAGAGAGTTGGGGGTACGTTCGGCACACCGTGTTTGGGGAAGTACGTTTGGACACGGCTTTTGTTCAAAGGAATTCGAGGTGTAAACAAACCCACAATTACAAGTTTACAACCAATACCTTTCGGTGCTATTATGATTAAATTCACTGATGCAAGTTGCATACTGAAAGAAATAAGCTGAATGTCAGGACATCTATTGCAAGGCATGTGTTTTGCGCCGCTTATGATTGAAAGTGCAGTTTTTGTTTTTTCACTTTTATTATTGATCCTTCTTGTTAGATATGTACAGTATTTTTTTGTTCACAGGCATACCGGATAAACAAAGAGGCTGCTAGAATAGCGAAAAGAGCGTGTGAACTGGTTCAAATTAAGTCAGGTGAGGGCATGCAGTTATGTCTATTATAGTTATACGAAAACAGTTCTTTTTTAATGGCAGTTGTTTATTTGCTATAGTCGTATTAACTCACGCAGAACTTCCGTGACTTTCTCTGTTCAGCTCTGGTAAAAATGCCTGCTCCCATATGATGTTTTGCCTCATGCACCGAACTGTTAACCTTCTTAGCAGCGCCAGCATAAATACGCATATCTAGTAAGAATTGCATGTGACCGTGCAACTGCAAGAGCTGCCGGCAGAAGTACAATAACGATTACAACAACACTAAGGACCAGACACACAATGCAACACCCTACACCAGAGATTGATTTAGAGCACTTCTATCAAAGTGCTCAGCAGAAAAAACCACACTCAGCAAAAAAAAACCAATCTCTGAGGGAAAAAACCCGCTAGCAACTAAACATGTATATACTATCAGTCCGTCTCTGACCAATAAGAGCAAGCAGCTGTTCCTTCACTGCTCTTTCCAAGTTCCATGACACTGCTTCCACAATAATGCTTGTGGCACAACACTCCTGTATAGCTGTCTCCATATTGTCCCTGCAAAGTAAGAACTCTGCAGAACAGAATTTATGCACATACACCCTACACACATACTCACCATAACCTCCAGTACAAAATGTTTCTGCCCGACAGCAAGAAGTTGCCGAGAGAATGACACTGTCGGTACACTCCCGTCTTTAAAAACCTTCACGACTGTCGCCACGCAGCGCAATCATCAGTGCATACGCGCCTCCCCAAACTATTGGGGATTATATTCTGTCTAATTCGCTGCGCTCAAACGAAATAAAATACATCTCCCATAATATGATGTTCTGCCTCATGCACCAAACTGTTAACCCTCCTAAGCAGCGCCAGCATAAATACGCATATCTAGTGACTGTGCAACTGCGAGAGAGGCCTCAAAGATAGCAGGCAGCGTAGTCACTACCATAAATATAATGAGTAAACCAGCCTTAAATCCCAAGCTACGAGAGACAGCCAGGCGATCGCCCACCTTGTCCTTGACGTACCCATCTTTGACATTTTTACTTCTCTGCTGACCGTGACATTGGAACCATCGGTCTGGGACACCTGCATTAGCAGCAGCGGATGCCCCACCAGACCTCAAACTGTGCAAGCCATACTTCGACGTATCCAGTCCTATAGCATCTCCAGCACTAGCTCTCTCACTCTGGTATATCTGAGCCCACCTGTGGACCGCAACTTACATCCATTTTTTGTTGTAACCAATCCACTGAACATACACATCTCTTGGCTATCCCGCACTCCAGCCACCCTTACATATCGTTTCATCATTCCCACTGGGCAGAGTAATGTACCGGTACGAACAATCACTACCCATGCTCCATCCAGAAACTGGTTTGTCGTATTTGACTCAATATAGACCTCCATTTGGTTTTCAAAAAACACAACATCTGACTCTGCTATTTCGTCATACCGGAAGAACCCGCAAAGCTTACAAGACAAATGTGACCGTCCACGCGAAAAAGGGGCAAAATTGTTTTTCGAGATTTCACCGATTCCGCGTTGTGTACCCTTTTGCCGTGCTCGTTCAAAATTTGGTGCGGATAGCCCGTTCCATTCTGGACATATAGCTGCTTTTGTACCTGGGAGTCAGACCTTCGACATCTGACAAACGGTAGTTTTTGTACGTGTAGAAATATTTCCACATATGCGCTCCATTAGACATCGGGTGTTGATACGCCCCAAGGGCCGTTCGCACTGTAGTGGAATGAGGCTATCTCTCGTGGAAATGAAGAAGACAGGCTCAACGAAGGTAGCAGTTAAGCTTTTAGCATCGTTGGTAACCCTAGCTCCTCCTTAGGCAGTTGTTTTTTTGACGGCCCGTAAATTTCTCTGCGTAATTTCCGTGTATTGCGCCTGTTCATGTGCACGTGGAGATCGACATAGCCTACTTCGAGGCGCCGCCATGGCCCTGGCGATTTTCTTTGATCGTGTCGTTCCCCAGGATACGGAATCCACCGAAGTCGGCCATCTCGGGCGTATGGCGCGACATTCGCAACAAAATCCTGCGAGCTCATATCTACCTATGTAGCTTCATATGTACTTCTCTAAGTGCACTCTTACATCATGACTCTTCTATTACGAAGTCACTATATTATACCTAATGAAGTCTACAGTGGCTTTTTAGGGCCACAAACACCGCAGTAGATGACCATAGCCACCAGGGCCACAATCTTTTCATAGGCACACATACAACATGACCACCTTGGTCACAGTGTAAATGAAAAGCCCTAAAGTGCAAACCCTCGGCGAACTGCGCATGCGCGATACTGCTAATTGATGGGCTGGGCTATTTTTATGCGTTTACTCATGGTATCCCGCTAGTAGCTCGCAGCGAGTCTGGCACTGGCTAGCTACAGTAGCAGATAGCATGTGAGAGTCGATACATGCCCTTCGTTGTGACTTCTTGTGCCTTCAAGACACACAGAGCTAGCGGGCGTGGTCGAGGTAAGCCTGTGCTAATTTGCATGTTGGCTTGTTCACTTGTCTTTCAGGCCATAACTTTTGAACTCAGAAGTTATATCTTTTTAAAAATGAGGCCAGTGTAGCGATGAACCTTTTTGTGTCGCTATTTCGTTGTCTCGTTGCGCGTAGTTGCAGAAAACGTGGTAACAGACGAACGGACAGACACACTCACTCACACACACACACACACTCACGAACCAAGTACCGTAACCCTCGCTGCGCATGCGCGCCGAGGGTTAATGACGCTAGCTACTATGGCTACAAGCCTCTCACAGGCCAAATATAGCAAACTCATTCCAACTGATCCCTTGGTCAACACACCTAACATGACATCAGCCCGTGTAGACTTAGCAGCCAGGCCACACATGGCCAGGTTATTAAACAGAGAAAAACTCCACTGCAAATAATCTCACTCCAACCCCTTCCTGGAGGCATAGCTTCATACCACTGTCGCTACTAAAAGGTCATGCAAAATTAGTCTATAGCTTAAACATTTACGGCCAAATCATTACATAGAAATACACAGATGACGATACATAGCACTAAGACTTATGTCAGGAATGATGGGTGTTTGCCCATGATAGCGAGCACAAACTACAACTACCAGCCATGTATTTCTCATTACAAAATCGTGCTCTACAGTTTCTTGCAGGCCTGCAAAGTTTACATGTAATACGAGTATTATTGAGTCACTGTAGAATGCTGAGCTGATATTGTTCCCACTACGACCAACTTAAAATAAGCCCCTCATAAAAAGTAATAGCACCCCATGTGTGGACAAAGTTTGCGAGGTGTCGTCCGTCCGGGCAAATAAATGGTGCTGAGTTCCATGCTGGGATAATAAGTGTACCCACTGCAGAACAGGCTTTTGCATGCTTGAGTACCCACACAAAAAGTGGCAGAGGAGGAACCAACCAACAACACTCTCCCAGCCATGAGACCGTAAAAGCATCTGCAGCTTCCGAGCCTGGATTCAAAACCGCGGCAATTGGGCATTGTAGAAAGAGGCAAAACAGTGTGGGTCCCACAACCTGTCGTAGTACTGGAAAACCCCAGTCATCAAAATCGACTATCCTGCTAAAAGAATCAGCCATCTCATTTTCTAGCCGGAGGATCCATTCAACCTCTAATCGCAGGGGGAACTCCAAGCAGGTCTCGAAAATACGAAGTGCCCCATCCTGCAAATGTGCCCACTTGCTTCCATTGGCAACAATATACTTCTCATTGTGGTTGTCTGTAAACCATTTTAGCCTATGCCCCTGGATCTTAGGTGCAAAGGAAGCCAACACATTTTGAATCGCTTTAAGCTCCCTCCATGTCGAACTCAATTTGGCCTCATCCGCTGACCACTCCCCCCGCACCACCTCCCTCCCCAGTTCCACCACATACCCCACAAAACCTGTATCACTTGCATCAGAGTAAGCCACCCTTGTGGTACCTGCACCAAACAAGATGGGCTGGCTATTGTAATGGGAGATACTACCTTTCCAAAACAGGAGCTCCTCCTTTGCATCTTCAGAAAGGTGAAACTCATCCCGCCATGAAATACGACAATTAAAAGCTCATACATGTATCTTGTGAGGAGGCTGGTTCTAGCCAGGCCCATATAGATTATCTCGCCAACAATATTAGCCAATAATTGGGCTGAAACTGCTCCTTCCAAGTTTACACATGCAATAACCTCCTGCAATTTCTTGATCTTATCAGCAGGCACTTGGAGTAACAGGAAACCAAGCCATCTGCCCGTTTGTTGTGGGACCAACTGTGATTTCGTATAGTTAGTAACAAACCCAGCGCTTGCAAGGTCTTCCAACATCACCTTCTTTGCCGGCTCACACTCTCTGTAGGAGTTTGCTCCACAAATACCGTCATCAATGTATATTATTGCTCTAAACCCGTAACTCCGCCAACGCTTCACTAGTGGTCTGAGCAGCTTCGTAAAAACATAGCAAAACCAAATGGCAGCACTGTAAACATAAATAAAATTCCGTTCACCCTTGACCATCCATGAAAACCCTAGAAAAGGCCAACAGTCTGGATGAATAACCTGAACCAAAAGTAAAGAAGTCTCCTTTCTTACAAAACTCTGGAATCAAATTTAACCATTCAATCTTCTGCTTAAGCAAAAAATACCTCTAATCTATTACAAGAGATTTCTTGACAACCAGCAGTGGGCTACACACCGCGCTTTGACCTAATAAATTCGACTAGCTGGTGGCTGAGGAATCCCCTTTCGCCTGAGACCCAGTGTCAAGCAGCAATCATGTGTTAGTATGGCCAGAACAAAGCTCCCTCAACAATATTGCGACTGTTACGAGAAGAAGGGATTGCAGCTAGTCGCAGTGGGATACGCAAACCAGGCAGTGGCTTGAGTAGCAAGGTCAATGAAAAGGTCAAAAACATTGCGGGGGACAAGATGACGCTTGATGATGGGACAAAGTCAAAACGGAGGGGCTAGCTAGCTCGAAAAGGTGCAGATTGCAACCGCATAGAAATTTATGTCATGTATGTCATGTAACAGTATATCCGAAGAGAAGAAAGCCAAAAACTAGCTGATGGATTGAAGAACGCATTTTGGGCTACAGTGACCGTAGAGAAATGTACCAGATACATTTCTCATCTACGCATAGTTATCCCAAGGGTTATTGAACTAGAAGGTGCAGCAACTGCATTCTAAACTCGTTCGGCAATGTTTTGTTACGTGTGTCTTATGACATATTGTTTTCGTGCAGCAAATGTTCTAGACTTGAAAACCTTTCTGGTAATTAATGGGGAATTACGGTTAAAACGGAAGTAGGCGGGCAAGCATGAGCATACAAAACAGATGCGCAGCGCAACAGTGCTCGCACTGTCGCGTATCGCAATGTTTGCAGCGTGTTCTGCCTGCCAAAGCCACTCAAAGTTCTTCTCACTGTAACGTGCGTGCCGCAAGGATACAGGCGGCAGCAGCAGCCGAGAGTTGAGAGAGACTCAGTTTGACAACGAATTATAGACACAAATGACGTCATGGACTTATACATAGCTAACGTGTGGCATAGACTCGTGTCCATAAACAAAAGTTAAAGAATAATAACACAATATATTTTTTCTTTCTCTTTCTTTTTTGTTTTCTTTTCCTTTTCCTTACGTCTACAACTCTCAAAGTTCATGACAATTACCATAATCATGCACATAAATAGGCATGAGTGCACTGGAAAGTGTGTGTTTTTTTTCTTACTGAGGGGTCAGAACGTACCAGTCAGGAGGTTTACGAATTCTCCCGGATCGACATGGTGGAGGAGGTGTGGTGGCTTCGGGTTCGACAGGACCCGGTGCCGCGGCTTGTGGTGGATTCGTGGGCTCCGAAGGTTCATGCAAGATTGGTGTCCAGTCAGGTGTCTCGTCTGAGTGTCCACTAGCTGATTGCGTTCCCGTAGCTGTGTCTGGATCTTACCCTTTTTTGGGTAAGGCTCCAGTGGAAGCATAAGCTGTCTACGGTTACG